AAAAAAAAAAAAAAAAAAAAATCCAGGTGAGAAGACAGGACAATTTGTTCAAAATCGTCATCACATGAGTTAGCACATGGAGAAAAAATACAAAGGGTAGATATTAGGAACATAGTGGTTACCTGAGGAAGGCGTGCCGGGAGCTTCCTCCTTCACGTGTTACATGCTTTGTTTGTTTGTTTGTTTTGTTTTTCTTTCTTTTTCTTTTTTTAACTTTTTTTTTAAAAGACGGGGTTTCACCATGTTGGCCACGCTGATCTTGAACTCCTGACCTCAGGTGATCCACCCGCCTCGGCCTCCCAAAGTGCTGAGATTACAGGCGTGAGCCACCGCGCCCGGCTGTTTGTTTTGTTTTTGAGACACTGTCTTGCTCTGTTGCCCAGGCTGGAGTACAGTGGTGCAACCACAGCTCATTGCAGCCTCAACCTCTTGGGCTCAGGCAATCCTCCCATCTCAGCCTCCCAAAGTGCTAGGATTATAGACATGAGCCACTGCACCTGCTCAATGTGTTACACAGTTCTATACCATTTAACTGTTTCTTTTTTTGAGATGGAGTTTCACTCCTGTCGCCCAGGCTAGAGTGCAATCTCATGATCTCAGTTCACCTCAACCTCTGCCTCCCGGTTCAAAGGATTCTTCTGCCTCGGCCTCCCGAAGTGTTGGGATTGCAGGCGTGAGCCACCACACCCGGCCAGAATTGTCTTAATCCCTCAGGTTTGCCTGGGGTGCCTGGGAAGAAGCCCTGCATGGGAAATCAGCAAACACGTGTTCCAGCCCAAGGCTGTGTGACCTTGGGGAGGTGAATGAGCCTTGCTGAGCCTATGTCCTGCTCTGTCAAACAAACAGCAATGGTGCTGTGCTCATCAAGGCCCCCAGCCCCTGCAGTGCCACCCGCCGTGGTGCCTCTGGCTGTGAGTGCTGCGCTGAGGCTTCCATGGTGTTTTCTAACGCCGCTGGGAACTCAGCCGGGCGCTGTGCCCATTCCTTAGCCGCCACGCCATGCTGTCATCTCAGCCTGAGCTTGGCGTCAACCAAACTCTCTGGATAGCTACGCCACAGACTGCTGTCAAGTCTGGTCATGCCGAGTGTGTGCTGGACAAGTCATATTTTTGTCTTCATTACCAAAATATTAAAAGTGCATCACAACTGATTTAGGAAAAAACAAACAAACAAAAAAATGAAGGCTGGGCATGGTGGCTCATGCCTGTAATCCCAGCACTTTGGGAGGCCGAGGTAGGCAGATCACAAGGTCAGGCGTTCAAGACCAGCCTGGCCAACATGGTGAAACCCCGTCTCTATTAAAAATACAAAAATTAGCTGGGCATGATGGTGTGTGCCTGTAATCCCAGCTACTCGGGAGGCTGAGACAGGAGAATCACTTGAACCCGGGAGGCAGAGGTTACAGCGAGCCCAGATCGTAGCACAGCACTCCAGCCTGGACGACCAGAGTGAGACTCTGTCTAAAAAAAAAAAAAAAAAAAGAAAAAACGCAAATCATTTTGCCTAACGCTGCTACTGTTTGCTCTACCCTTGTTTTCCCCAGTGATTATGTTTACAACTCAGTGGTAAGCAGAGCTCAATCACGTTTTCTTCTTTTGCTCACTGCTACATCCTAAGCATCTTCCCTTATTGCCTATTTTTGTTTGTTTGTTTTTGAGATAGAGTTTCACTCTGTTGCCCAGGCTGGAGTGCAGCGGCCCCATCTCGGCTGCAAACTCCGCCTCCCAGGTTCAAGTGATTTTCCTGCCTCAGCGTTCCCGGTAGCTGGGACTAAAGTTACCTGCCACCACGTCCAGCTAATTTTTCTGCTGTTTTTTTTTTTTTAACAGAGACGGGGTTTCACCAGGTTGGCCAGGCTGATCTTGAACTCCTGACCTCAGGCAATCTGCCTGCCTCGGCCTCCTGAGTAGATGGAACTACATGTATGTCCCACCGTGCCTGTCTCATCCTTATCTATCTATCTATCTATTTATTTATTTTGAGATGGAGTTTCGCTCTGTCGCCCAGGCTGGAGTGCAGTGGCACCATCTTGGCTCACTGCAACCTCTGCCTACTGGTTTAAGTCATCTCCTGCCACAGCCTCCTGAACAGCTGGGACTACAGGCATGTGCCACCATGCCCAGCTAATTTTTGTATTTTTAGTGGAGATGAGGTTTCATCATGCTGGCTAGGCTGGTTTTGAACTCCTAACCTCAAGTGATTTGCCTGCCTCAGCCTCCCAAAGTGCTGGGATTACAGGTGTGAGCCACCTTACCCTGCCTATTTTACTTATTTGCTTACTATTCATCTATCTCTTCCCATGAGGATGTGCACCCCAGGAGGTGGGGACTTCTTCTTGGTTCACTGCTTTGTCTCCAGCCCTTACACGGGACCTGGTACACAATAGATGCTCAATAAATAGTTTTTAGATAAATGGACAAATTAATCCCAATAGGTGGTTCCTGGGAAGGATGCTGGTTCTTGTTATAAATGGAGCCTACGGCCGGTGTGGTGGCTCACGCCTGTAATCCCAGCACTTTGGGAGGCCGAGGCAGGCGGATCACCTGAGGTCAGGAGCTCGAGACCAGCCTGACCGACATGATGAAACCCCATCTCTACTAAAAATACAAAATGAGCCAGGTGTGGTGGTGGATGCCTATAATCCCAGCTACTTGGGAGGCTGAGGCAGGAGAATCACTTAAACCTAGGAGGCGGAGGTTGCAGTGAGCCGAGATCGCGCCACTGCGCTCCTGCCTGGGTGACAAGAATGAAACTCCATCTCAAATAAATAAATAAATAAAGCCCACTTGAGGTTTCCAAAAGGAACCCAGCCTCAGAGTGGGGTCAGGCACATATTGGGTTTCCTCTACTAGAGGCAGTCGAGACCCAGGAAAGCCTGGGGCCTGCGTGGCCACCCCGTTCCCTTTGCTCCCTGGGGAGATAGTCCCAGGCACCAGTAGCCCAGGTCCATTTCTTACCTGCCAGCATCTCCATCCCATAACCAGAATCCTCGGACGGCAGCTGCCCAGGCATCGAGGCTGTCATTTCCTCAGAGGTGGGCGAGGGGTCTGAAGACAAAACTCCAAATGACATGGGTGTCCTCCACCTGCCACACTCCTGTCACTGTCCCTCAGGGACCACCCAGCCCACTCTGCCCACACACAAGGGTCCTTTCTTTCTCTCTGTTTTTTTTTTTTGTTTGAGACAGAGTCTCACTCTGTCGCCCAGGCTGGAGTGCAGTGCTGCCATCTCAGTTCACTGCAACCTCTGCCTCCCTGGTTCAAGTGATTCTCCTGCCTCAGCCTCCCCAGTAGCTGGGATTACAGGTGTCCACCACTACGCCTGGAACTGCAGGTGTGAGCCACTACGCCTGGCTAATTTTTGTATTTTTAGTAGAGACGGGGTTTCACCATGTTGGCCAGGCTGGTCTTGAACTCCTGACCTCAGGTGATCCACCCATCTTGGCATCCCAAAGTGCTGGGATTACAGGTATGAGACACCATGCCCAGCCTTTTTTTTTTTTTTTGAGATAGGGTCTCACTGTGTTGGCCAGGCTGGAGTGCAGTGGTGCGATCACAGCTCACTGCAGCCTCCAACTCCTGGGCTCAAGTGATCCTCCTCCCTCAGCCTCCTGAGTAGCAACACCTACAGGCACACACCACCACATCTGGCTAATTTTTTATATTTTTAGTAGAGATGGGGTCTTGCTATGTTGCCCAGGCTGGTCTTGAACTCCTGGCCTCAAGCAGTCCTCCTGTGTCAGCCACCCAAAATGCCGGAGTTACAAGCATGAGCCCCTGTGCCCGGCACCCTCTTGGCTTCTAACAGTCACCCCACGCTGAGGCTCCGGCGCCCAAATCTACCCTCTCCTCTGAAGACGTGGAAGGTAGGGCAGAGGGTAGGGCGAAACTCAGAACCTCTCAGGCCCAGCCTCACAAATCCCAGGGAAGCCGAGCCAGGAAGGTGAAGTTTGAGGGGACCTTCTGGAAGGTGAGAGCTGAGAGCACGGATTCGCAACACGGGCAGATGTGGCCAGAGAAAGCATTCACAATACCCCAAAGACTCTCAGAATCCACGGAGAGAAACAGCGGCCTGGAGGCCTCTTCTTCGCCAGGGCAGACCCTCGGGAGGCCAATGGTATGGCCCTGATCCCTGCAGGGGCTGGTCAGACGCCCGTCCCTTACCTGGGACGGTGACCTGAATGATGTCCAGATCCTCTGGCTCAATTTTGATCGGCCTTAGCCCGCCCAGCTCCCCAGAGGTTCCTGTAAAGAGGAAAGGAAGGATCCGGTCAAGTCTGGCATGAGCCTGGCTGGGCAGAGGGAGTCTTTCCAGAACATTCTGGCGTCTGTAACTTGTCAGTGAGGTTCTACCTAGGACAAGTCATGTCAGCCCCCGGCTCCTGCCCAGACCAGAACTGGAGGTCAGGGGAGCCCTCGGGCTAGGCTTAGGGGCTCTTATTTATTTATGTATTTGAGATGGTGTTTCACTCCTGTTACCCAAGCTGGAGTGCAATGGCAGGATCTCAGCTCACTGCAACCTGTGCCTCCTGGGTTCAAGCGATTCTCCTGCCTCAGCCTCCGAAGTAGCTGGGACTACAGGCACACGCCACCACGACAGGTTAATTTTTGTATTTTTAGTAGAGACGGGGTTTCTGTGTATTGGTCAGGCTGGTCTCGAACTACCGACCTCAGGTGATCTGCCTGCCCCGGCCTCCCAAAGCGCTGGGATTACAGGTGTGAGCCACTGCGCCCGGCCAGGGGCTCCAATTTACAGACCCGGTGACTGACGCTCCCCAGAGGCGAGGCTGCTGGTCCAGGAGCCTGGAGCCTGGGTCTGTGCATCGACAGGAGGCAGTGGTGATGCCAGCACCCAGGTCTCCATGCCCCTGACCCCAGCAGGAGCTCCCAGCATGCCTTGCACCTTGGTGCTGCAAGCCTGGGGGGGGTGCAGGCGGGCAGAGGGGGTTCATTAGCACTCCAGGCTCATGAGCTGAGTTGAGCTCCTCCCTAAGGCTGCCAGGTAGGGCTGGTGGTGGCCCTCCTGGCCCATGACACCCATGGCATGCCCTGTTCTTCTCACCTGGCCCGCAGTCTTCAGACATGCTGCCCTTGTCTGACCTGTGAAGGGAAGCCAGGAAATGACACCTGTCAGCCAAGTCCAGGAAATGACACCTGTCAGCCTGCCCAGCCTTGCCCCTCCAGGCAGTCGGGGGCCCACCGCGGCCCTCCCCCATCACCCCCTGGCCCCCAGGACGGTGCTCCCTACCCCCACCAGGGAGAGAGATCCCTTGTGCCCTGTCTCTGGGGACCACCATCTCCAGGGGTACCCGAGCCAGGCATCCGCTCACTCTTCTGGGGTGAGCCATCTGGGAGCTCTGGGGCTCCTGAGCTTGGCACAGTGGGGGTTTGATCACTGCTTGTGGGGGATTAAGACCTGCAGGGCCTGGAAAGGGTTAAGAATCTGGGGTGGGGCCTGGGGAGCAAAGGTAGCCAGGACCCTGGGACAGAAGATTTGGTTAATTCCCTCCCTCCCTCCCAGAGAACCGCAGGGAGAGGCCTGGCATGACATGGGGATTCTGAAATAAACAGCCCACCCCTGCCTCTAAGAGGTCAGAACGTGGTTGAGGGGTGCTGGTGGGTAGCTGCCAAGCTGAGCGCTGGGGCAGGGTCTGGTGGGCACTCGGGACAGGCATCGGACCTGATGTTAGGATGTATGTGTGCATGTAGGTATACACGTGTATGGGATATGCATACATGTATTTTTTTTTTGAGACGAAGTCTTGCTCTGTTGCTCAGGCTGGAGTGCAGTGGCACAATCTTGTCTCACTGCAACCTCTGCTTCCCGGGTTCAAGCAATTCTCCTGCCTCAACCTCCCAAGTAGCTGGGACTACAGGCACCTGCCACCATGCTCGGCTAATTTGTTTTGTATTTTTAGTAGAGACAGGTTTTGCCACGTTGGCCAGGCTGGTTTCGAACTTCTGACCTCAGGTGATCTGCCTGCCTCAGCCTCCCAAAGTGCTGGGATTACAGGTATGAGCCATCACACCCGGCCTCATGTATGTCTTTTTGAGACAAGGTCTTACTCTGCTGCCCAGGCTGGAGTGCAGCAGTGCGATCACAGCTCACTGCAGCCTTGACCTCCCAGGCTCAAGCGATCTTCCCACCTCAGCGTCCCAAGTAGCTGGGACCACAGGTACCAGCCATTACATCCAGCTTCCTTTTTATTTTTTGTAGAGACAAGAGTCTCACTATGTTGCCCAGGCTGGTGTCAAACTCCTGGGCTCAAGAGATCCACCCACCTCAGCCTCCCAAAGTGCTAGAATTATAGGAGTGAGCCACCAAGCCTGGCCTAGTGTGGGCATGTATTTATTTTGAGACAGGGTCTTGCTCTGTCATCCAGGCTGGAGTGCAGCGGCGCAATGTCAGCCCTCTGCAACCTCTCCCTCCCAGGTTCAAGCCATTCTCTTGCCTCAGCCTCTCGAGTAGCTGAGATTATAGGTGCACACCACCACATCCAGCTAATTTTGTGTTTTTACTAGAGACGGGGTTTCACCATGTTGCCCAGGCTGGTCTCAAACTCCTGGCCTCAAGAGAGTCACCCACCTCGGCTTCTCAAAGTGCTAAGGGTACAGGCGTGAGCCACCGCACCCGGCCTAGTGCGGGCATTTAGAGGCTTCTGAGGGAGGTGACATCTGCCTAGATCTTGGGGGCGGAAGAGTTCTCTAGGTGACAGTTTTCTAGGCAGAGGAAGTAGGTGAAATCTCTGTTTCCTCTAGCCCTCCCTTTGCACCTTCAAGGCCTGGTGGTGTGGTGGGAGCCGCCCTGGGTCTCTGGTCCCCCCTTGCAGGTAATGCTCCCTCAGCCCAGAGCAGGGCTGGCCGTGGGCCTCCGGGGTCGGGGTCTCACCGAGCACTCCCGGCCATGTCATGGATGCTGGCCCTAGAGACCTCTGCAGAGGTGTCCTCCGGTGGGCTGGCTGGCTCCAGCTTCGTGGTGTCTTTGGTAAACTTGTTCCCTGTGGGGAGAGTCAGGGAGGTCAGGGTGAAGGCCCTCTGGCCTCCTTTTGCTGCAGGACCGCTGGGTGAAGGTCTCCACGTGAAGCTCCTGGGGGAATCCCAGGGGTAGGGCCTTGCCTCTGCCCTTCCTTGTGAGCTCCACGTCCAGCCAACAGCCAGGAACGGGTCCTGGGGAGACGCTGCCCCCAGAAGGAGGAACAGCAGCCCTACTGCCAGAGGGGGCCAGAGATTTGAGAGAAGGGCAGGGGGAAGGGGAGGCAGCAACCAGAGACGGTTCGCCTGCGCTCCGACACACTGCGGGGGCTGAGCCCTCAGAAAAGGCCTGGGGCTTCCCCAAGGCTGCATCATGGGACCAGGCCCTCATCTCATTATTTCGTTGTGCCAGGAGCCCAGAGGAAGGTGCTCTTTTTTGTTTTGTTTTGTCTTTTGGGACAGACTTTCACTTTGTCGCCCAGGCTGGAGCGCAGTGGCGCGATCTCGGCTCACCGCAACCTCCGCCTCCTGGGCTCAAGCAGTTCTCCTGCCTCAGCCTCCTGAGTAGCTGGGATTACAGGTGTGCGCCACCACGCCCGGCCAATTTTTGTATTTTTAGTAGAGACAGGGGTTTCTCCATGTTGGTCAGGTTGGTCTCAGGTGATTCGCCCTCCTCGGCCACCCAAAGTGCTGGGATTACAGGCGTGAGCCAGCGCACCCGGCTGGAAGGTGTTCTTATCATCCCCATTTCACAGATGTGGAAACTGAAGCCCAGAAGACTTTTCCCAAAGTCACATAGCCAGTGGGAGGGAGGACCAGAACTGGGGTGCCAGATACAAAAAGATCTGCAATGCTTTGCTGCCCGGGAAGAGACTGTACCTCCCTTTTTTTTGAGACGGAGTCTTGCTCTGTCGCCAGGCTGGAGTGCAGTGGTGTGATCTCAGCTCACTGCAACCTGTGTTTCCTGGGTTCAAGCGATTCTCCTGCCTCAGCCTCCCAAGAAGCTGGGACTACAGGCGCCCACATCATGCCCAGCTGATCTTTTGTGTTTTAGTAGAGACGGTGTTTCACCACGTTGACCAGGATGGTCTCGATCTCTTGACCTTGTGATCCACCTGCCTCGGCCTCCCAAAGTGCTGGGATTACAGGCGTGAGCCACCGCGCCCGGCCAGAGCCCGCATCTTCCTCCTGGGACAGGTGTGCTGGCCCGCGGGCCACTGCATGTGCTCTGGAGTCGCACGGCTGGGCCTGCAGCCAGGGACCCGTGCCCACCTGGGTCCCTATCTGGTTCCTCTATCTGCACGTGAGGATAGAAATGGAGCTACCTTCATAGGATTGTTGGAATTCTATTAAAATAAAATATGCTGGCAGCTTCGAAGAGAGCCTGGCACAGGCTCAGGTTCACTAAGCTGGCACAGGGTAGTATCCAGCTTTAGTACTCTCTGTCCAGGGCACTCGAAGCTTCGAGGGGCTGTCCTGACAGTCTGTGAGCACCTAGGAGCCCGGGACCCATTTCTGTCCCAGGACACAGAAGCCACAGTCCAGCCTCCCTCCATCCCTGAGGGGAAGGGCTCGGGAGGACCAAGCTCAGGGTGGTTGGAGAATCAACTGCAAATTTCAGAATGGGCTAGATGGTCCCCACATACCTGTGAAAATTCGCTCATCAAACATCCTGGGGAGAGAGAGGAGACGGGCGTGAGAACGGTGTAGGCTAGAGGGCTCTCCCAGGGCTCGGGGAGATGACTCCAGGTCCCCTTCGGTGGAAGTCACTGAGTGACACAGGCACAGCCACAGACCTGGGCACCCGAGACACAGGCAGGCAGGAGAGGGCATGTCCGAAGTCTCAGAACCTCCCAAACCATTTATTTCTATTTCTGGAGAGAGAGTCTCACTTTGTTGCCCAGGCTGGAGTGCAGTGGTGCGATCTCGGCTCACTGCAACCTCCGCCTCCTGGGTTTAAGCGATTTTCCTGTCTCAGCCTTCCAAGTAGCTGGGATTATAGGTGCCCGCCAGCACGCCCTGCTAATTTTTGTATTTTTAGTTGAGACGGGGTTTCACCATGTTGGCCAGGCTGGTCTCAAACTCCTGACTTCAAGTAATCCACCCATCTCTGCCTCCCGAAGTGCAGGGATTATAGGTGTGAGCCACTGCGTGCGCCTGGCCTCATTATTTTTAATGTTTTTGTGGAGATAGGGTCTTGCTTTGTTGCCCAGCCTGGTCTAGAACTCCTGGCTTCAAGGGATTTCCCCACCTTGGCGTCCCAAAGTGCTGGAATTGCAGGCGTGAGCCACTACACCCGGTCTAGATACTGGACTTTTTTTTTTTTTTTTTTTTTTTTTGAGACATGGTCTGTCTCTGTCACCCAGGTTGGAGTGCAGTGGCATGATCACGGCTCACTGCATTCTTGACATCCCAGGCTCAGGTGATCCTCCTGCCTCACCCTCCCAAGTAGCTGGCAATGGATGCGTGTACCACCATGCCAGGCCAATTTTTGTATTTTTAGTAGACACGGAGTTTCACCATTTTGGCCAGGCTGGTCTCGATCTCCTGACCTCAGGTGATCCACTCACCTCGACCTTCCAAAATTATGGGATTACAGGCATAATCCAGGCCACCTCATCTAGCCTATTTTTTATTTTTTGAGATGGGGTGTCACTCTGTCACCCAGGCTGGAGTGCAGTGGCACGATCATAGCTCACTACAGCCTCAAACTCTGGTGCTCAAGTGATCCTCCCGTCTCAGCCTCCAAGTAGCTGGGGACTATAGGCACCTGCCACCACGCCTGGTTAACTTTTTAAATTTTTTTTGCAGAGACGGGGTCTCACCATGTTGCCCGAGCTGGTTTCAGGCCTGTTTTATGTAAATGAGGCACAGAGTGGTTAAGTAACTCGCCCAAGGACACCCAGCTAGGAAATGTCTGTAAGTACACTGAGGCCCTTGATGATGTTTTTATTCATGAGAGAAATGAGGTCAAGGAAAAACACCTCATGCTTATTAAACATGTGCTATGTGTCAGTTTTTCACGTTATGTTAGGAAACCCCCTGGGTGGGGGGCATCAATGTCCCTTTTCCTTTTTTTTTTCTTTAAGAAACAGGGCCTTGCTCTGCCACTCAGGCTATGCAGGCCTGGGCCACATAGCAAGATCCCATCTCTACTCAAAAAATAAATTACCAGGTGCCTGATCAGGCCAGACACTGTGCCTGCATTTTCCAGTCAATCCTCAAAAGACCCAGAAGGAAGAGGCTGCACAGCTACGCTAAGGAGCTATAACAGAATCCTCTCCCAGGCCTGTCCGATTCTCTGCTGAGTTAGAGAACCTGTTCATTGTGCCCCTGCTCCATCATTGCCTCCCCAGGTCCCCGCTCAGCGCAGATGCCCCCAAACCCCAAGCCCAAGCCATGCCTGGAGTGGAAGGTCAGACCCCTACACCCACCCGCTGCACCCTTTTTTTTTTTTGGTATTTTTAGTAGAGACGGGGTTTCACCATATTGGCCAGGCTGGTCTCGAACTCCTGAGCTAGTGATCTGCCCACCTCAGCCTCCCAAAGTGCTGGGATTATAGGCATGAGCCACTGCGCCCGGCCTCTTTTTTATTTTTGAGATGGAGTCTCCCTCTGTCACCCAGGCTGGAGTGCAGTGGCGTGATCTTGGCTCATTGCAGCCTCTGCCTGCCGGGTTCAAGATCTTGGCTCATTGCAGCCTCTGCCTGCCGGGTTCAAGAGATTCTCCTGCCTCAGCATACCAAGTAGCTGGGTTACAGGCATGCACCACCACACCTGGCCGATTTTTGTATCGTTAGTACAGACGGGGTTTTGCCATGTTGGCCAGGCTGGTCTCGAACTCCTGGCCTCAAGCGATCTGCCCGCCCTGGCCTCCCAAAGTGCTGGGATTACAGGCGTGAGTCACCGTGCCCAGCCCCACCCGCACCTCTTAATGATGAAGTGGATGCTGTGCCTCTCCTCCAGAATCCGCTTCAGCTTGGGGACTCCGTAAGTGCAGGGGCGCTTGAAGGGGATCTTGTCGGGGATGCCCACGATCTCCACAGCCTCCGGGTCGCAGGCGATCTTCCGGTAGGGCACGGGGACCATGTGGTCCAGGCCTAGGGCTTCCGCTGGAAAGATAACCAAACAGCAAGGCTGAGTGTGAGACAGGCTGCAGGGTGCGCAGGACCCGGGGCTGCGGTCACCATCACTCCCACCAGCCCTACTCCACTCTGGCCATGTAGTGGCCATAGGGATCCTGCAGAAATGTCAAATCATGTCACTTTTTTTTTTTGAGACGGAGTCTCCCTCTGCTGCCCAGGCTGTAGTGCAGTGGTGTGATCCCAGCTCATTGCAACCTCCACCTCCCAGGTTCCAGCGATTCTCCTGCCTCAGCCTCCCAAGTAGCTGGGACTACAGGTGCCCACCACCATGCCTGGCTAATTTTTTGTATTTTTAGTAGAGACAGGGTTTCACCATGTCAGCCAGGATGGTCTCGATCTCCTGATCTTGTGATCCACCCGCCTCGGCCTCCCAAAGCGCTGGGATTACAAGCGTGAGCCACCATGCTCAGCCCATGTCACTTTTATGTTAAGAAATTGGCTGGGCTGGGTGCGGTGGTGCATGCCTGTAATTCCAGCACTCTGGGAAGCTGAGGTGGGCAGATGGCTTGAACCCAGGAGTTCAAGACCAGCCTGGACAACACAGCAAGATGCCATCTCTGCAAAGAGTAAAAAATAAAAAGCTAGGCGTGGGGGTGCACGCCAGTAGTCCCTGCTACTCTGGAGGCTGAGGTAGGAGAATCACTTGAGCCTAGGAGTTCAAAGCTGCAGTGAGCCAAGATCATGCCACTGCACCCCAGGCTGGGCAACAGAGTGAGACCCTGTCTCTAAAAAAATAAAATAAAAAATGTCCAGTGGCTCCCATCTCATTTGGTGACAGCCAAAGTCCTGCCTATGTGACTTCATCACCTCTGACATCATCTGCCCCCTCTCATGCCTCTGTGTGCTCCCCTCAGCCCCCTGCCACTCCCTTGGTGCTTCCCCCACCCTCGCCAGGGGCATACACTCAGTTTAAGGCCTTTGTACTTGTTCTTCTGTCTTCCCAGATCCCTTTCTCCCAGAAATCCACAAACATCCATCTGTCCATTCATCTAATCATCCATCCATCCGTCAGTCCATCCATCTGCCCATCCATCCATCCATCCATCCATCCATCCGTCCGTCCGTCCATCTATCCATCCATCCATCTAGCCATCTGTCCATCCATCTGCCTATCCATCCATTAGTCTATCCATCTATCCATCCGTCCATCTGCCCATCCATCCATCCATCCGCCCATCCATCCATCTATCCATCCATTCATCCATCTTCCCATCTATCCATCCATCTGACCATCCATCGGCCCATCCATCCATCCATCCATCTGCCCATTCAACCATCTGCCCATCCATCCATCCATCCATCCACCCACTCACCCCTCCTTCCATCCATCCTTCCACCCACCCACCCTCCATCCATCCACCCATCCATCCGTCTGTCCATCCATCCATCTGTCCATCTATATGTCCATTCATCTGCCTGTCCGTCTGTCCATCCATCCATCCATCCATTCATCCATCTGCCCATCCATACATCCATCTGCCCATCCATCTATCTATCCATCCATCTGCCCATCCATCCATCCATCTGCCCATCCATCCATCCATCCATCCATCCATCTGCCCATCCATCCATCCATCCATCCATCCATCTGCCCATCCATCTATCCATCCATCCATCCATCCATCTGTCCACCCATCCATCCATCTGCCCATCTATCTATCCATCTATCCATCCATATGCCCATCCATCCATCCATCCATCCATCCATCCATCCATCCATCCAACCATCCATCCATCCATCTGCCCATCCATCCATCCATTCGTCCATCCATCCATCCATCCATCCATTCATCTGGCCATCCATCTGTCCATCCATCCATCCATTCATCTGGCCATCCATCTGTCCATCCATCCATCCATCCATCCATCCATCCGTCTATCCATCCTATCCATTGTTCTATCCATCTATCCATCCACCCATCTATCTTTCCTTCCTTCCTTCCTTCCTTCCTTCCTTCCTTCCTTCCTTCCTTCCTTCCTTTCCTTCCTTCCCTCCCTCCCTCCTTTCAGGTGTTTGCTCAAATAGCACCTTGGCAGCCTCATGCGGCCCCTCCATCCCTCATTCTCTCCCCTGCTGTGTCTGTCATCCATTGCTCATCACCTGACGTTACATCCACAATCATCTCTATGCGTGTTCGCTATCTGGAAAGGAAGCTGCATAAGAACAGGGGCTTTGGCCAGGTGTGGTGGCTTATGCCTGTATTCCCAGCACTTTGGGAGGCCACGGTGGTTGGGGAATGCTTGAGCCCAGGAGTTCAAGACCAGCGTGGGCGACACAATAAGCAGCCATCTCTATAAAAATAGAAAAAATGAGCTGGGCATGGTGGAGCATGCCTGTAATCCCAGCTACTTGGCAGGCTGAGGCAGGAGGATCACTTGAGCCCAGGAGTTCAAAGATGCAGTGAGCTGTGATTGCACCACTACACTCTAGCCTGGGCAACAGAGTGAGACTGTCTAAAATAGAGTAGGCGTTGTTTCCTGCCTTGCCATTGTGACCTCAATGGGGCTGGGCACACACTAAGTGCTTTCTGCATAGTCAGTATACAAATGGCTAAAGGAGGTGCCCAAGCTTGAGGCTGGCTCTTGGCAGGTGACTGGTTGCACACGTGAGCACAGGTGTGTCCCTTCTTGCAGGGAGGAGCTCAGCACGCCCTCCATTCACCAGCGCCATAAACAAGACACACCCAGAAGCTGACAGCTGTGCCAACAGCCAAGCAGACAGAATCCAGGCTCATGACCTGGTTACTTGCTCTGTTTTTCCTGACTTACGCCATTTCAGTCATTCACTTTCACCCCAGCTCCACCTTTTCATTCATTCATTCACCAAATACTTTTTTTTTTTTTTTAAATCTGACGGAGTCTCGCTCTGTTGCCCAGGCTGGCGTGCAGTGGCATAATCTTGGCTCACTGCAACCTCTGCCGACCAGGTTCAAGTGATTCTCCCTGCCTCAGCCTCCCAAGTAGCTGGGATGACAGGCATGGGCCACCACGCCCAGCTAATTTTTTGTGTTTTTAGTAGAGACCGGGTTTCACCATGTTGGCCAGGCTGGTGTTGAACTACTGACCTCAGATGATCCGCCGGCCTTGGCCTCCCAAAGTGCTGGGATCACAGGCGTGAGCCACCGCGTCCAGCCCAGCACCAAATACTTTTAAAGCACCTACTATGTTCCTGACACAAGCTGGTACTTACTTTCTTTCTTTTTTAGAGACAGGGTGTTGCTCTATTGCCCAGGTTGAAGTGCGGTGGTGCAATCATAGCTCACTGCAGCCTCGACTTCTAGCTAAAGTGATCCTCCCGCCTCAGCCTTTTGAATAGCTAGGACTACAGGCATGGGTTACTATGCCCAGCTATTTATTTTTTATTTTTTGGAGAGATGGGGTCTTGCTATGTTGCCCAGGCTGATCTTGAACTCCTGGGCTCAAGTGATCCTCCTGCCTCAGCCTCCCAAAGTGCTGAGATTACAGGATGAGCCAGTGCTCCTGGCTGCAAGCAAGTACTTTCACGGGTCACCCATCCCCCCAAGGCTGGCCTGACCATCCACTTCACTCCTGCCTCCTCCTGTGACCTTGGACGGGGCCTTGACATGCTGTCCTCCGAGCCGGCTCCCACATCTCCTGGCTGCTCCCTGTCCTCGTCCTAGCCGTGCTGCACATGCTTTGTCTGTGTTCCTACAAGTGCCCGCCCAGAGCTGGACCTCCCTCCAGCCCTGCCTGGGCCCTCCCTTGGGTGCCTTTGACATTGTTTTCCTGTTGATGCAGCAGCCCCAGTCTGCGTTGGTGGCTTTGGCATCCAGATTCCACTGAGAAGTCACACTTAGCTCATTGTCAGATTAAACCCTCGAAATCTCAACAGCTGGGAAAGCATCTCTTCCCACAAGCCCCCACCTCCCACACCAGCAGCAACCCCAGCCCCAGCCCCAGCCCTTGAGCAATCCTTTGAGTCGCTGCAATTTCATCTCTGTCCGGTTCATCTGGTTTACTGGGGCTTGTTTTTCCAGCAGCGGGGAGATTCAGCGGACAGAGGGCCGACTCCCCAACCCTGCTGTTACTCCTTGGGAAGGGGCTGGCTTCATGCAGCGCCACCTTGCACCATCCTTGGTCCCTCACCTGGTCCTAGCATCTTCCCAGAGGACATGTCCTCAAGGCTTCCTGAAGCCTAACATTTCCCCCAGTTCTTCTTCTTCTTATTATGTTTGAAATGGAGTCTCACACTGTCACCAGGCTGGAGTACAGTGGCGCAATCTCAGCTCACTGCAACCTCTGCCTCCTGGGTTCAAGCGATTCTCCTATCTCAGGCTCCCGAGTAGCTGGGATTACAGGCACACCACCACGCCTGGCTAATTTTTGGTATTTTTAGTAGAGACAGTGTTTCATCATGTTGGTCAGGCTGGTCTCGAATACCTGACCTCATGATCCACCCACCTCAGCCTCCAAGTGCTGGGATTACAGGCATGAGTCACCGAGCCCGGCCCCCAGTTCTTATTTTCCTGTTTCTTCCATCTCTACACCGCCTGCACCGTCGCTGGCCCAATTCACCCAGATTTGGTGGCTGGTAGAGCTAGGACCAGGAGTTCCTTACCCATGATCGGTGGGATGCCTTGGGCTGCCAAATCCCATCCCCACCACCATGGGGACCCCAGTACTCCCGGGTAGCTGCCTTCCCCCCCGCACAGCTCTCCAGAGAGCGCTCTGGCTTATGGGGAACAAAGTCTTGACCACTCCACACCCAGTACTCCTTGGATATGACCCAGGAACTGACATTTGGAAAAGGCTTGGCATTCTGGAAAGTCCAGTGCATGGGACATGCCAGAACACTGGCCTGGGCGGAACCCTCCCAAGGCAGGCAGAGCCGGCTCCTCCTTGGCTCCCCTCCCCACCTGGCTCACACCTGCCCGGGGCGGGGAGAGACTCAGGGGCAGGTGCAGACAGCCCTTTGCCGTACTGAGGAGTAAGGAGGCATGGCCGGGCCAGGGTGACCACATCAAAGGCAGCTGGCTACCCCAGGCTCCTCACTAAGGCCTCTGGAGTCTCGTTCAACCCTATCCCAATGTGGAAAGTCCAGCCCACATGCAGAGGTGCCCCAGCTGTGGTCTGAATCACAGTGCACCTCCTCCATGAAGCCCCCACTGACTTCTGACTTCCCGACCTATTGAGATTGTATCTTCCTGGGAATTATCCTCTCTTTCTCTTTTTTTTTTTGGAGAGAGAAAGTCTCACTCTGTTGCCCAGGCTGGAGTGCAGTAGCACGATATTGGCTCACTGCAACCTCCACCTCCAGGGTTCAAGTGATTCTCCTGCCTCAGCCTCCCGAGTAGTTGGGATTACAGGGGCCTGCCACCACGCCATGCCCAGTTAATTTCTGAATTTCTGTAGAGACGGAGTTTCGCCATGTTGGCCAGGCTGGTCTTGAACTCCTGAGCTCAAGTGACTCACCCGCCTTGGCCTCCCAAAGTGCTGGGATGACAGGCGTGAGCCACTGCACCTACCACTTGCATTTTCTTTCCAGAGTGAGGTGGGCTGTCATCTGCTCTGACCCTGACTCTGTCTTGGGTGCTAGGGACAAAGAGAGGGGTCAGGTGCAGTCCTGGCCCTCAGGGAGACAGCGGCAGACAAGGGGGCATCAAGTTCCCAATGTGTCACGGGACACGGTGGCTCACCCCTGTCATCCCAGCACTTTGGGAGGCTGAGGTGGGCAGATCACGAGGTCAGGAGTTCGAGACCAGCCTGACCAACATAGTGAAGCCCCGTCTCTACTAAAAATACAAAAATTAGCTGGGTGTGGTGGTACACACCTATAATCCCAGCTACTCAGGAGGCTCGGGCAGGAGAATTGCTTGAACCTGGGAGGTGGAGGTTGCAGTGAGCCGAGACTACCGCACTCCTACCTGGGCATAGCGCAAGACTCTGTCTCAAAAAAAAAAAAAAAAAAAGTTCCCAGTGTGTCACAGAGAGGGAACCATCAGGGTACCCAGGCCTACCCAGCCCAGGCTGGGCACTGAAAGGCGTCCTGGAGGAGGTGACACCCAAGATGAGTCTCAAAGAACAATTAGGAATTTGTCCGTAAAACATGAAAACAGTATGCCAGGCAGAGGGCACAGCACGGGTAAAGCCAGGGAGGCAGGAAATGGCATGCTGTCATACGGGACTTGCACGTGAAGCCAACAGAGATTTTTCTGGGCCCTATGAGTGGTTCCCCTGACAGGCAATCTGTTCTGTTTGTTTTTTTGTAGAGAGCTTGTGTTGTCGCCCAGGCTGGAGTGCAGCGGTGTGATCATAGCTCACCACAGCCTCAACCTTCTGGGCTTAAGCAATCCTCCCCCCGCAACCTCCAGGTAGCTAAGACCACAGGCGTGTGGTTAATTTTTAATTTTTTTTTTAGATGGAGTTTTGCTCTTGTTGTCCAGGCTGGAGTGCAGTAGCATGATCTTGGCTCACTGCAACCCGCACCTCCTGGGTTCCAGCAAATCTTGTGCCTCAGCCTCTTGAGTAGCTGGGATTACAGGTGTGTATTACCACACCCAGGTAAGTTTTGTATTTTCAGTAGAGACAGAGTTCTGCCATGTTGGCCAGGCTGGTCTCAAACTCCTGATCTCAGGTGATCCGCCTGCCTCCGCCTCCCAAAGTGCTGGGATTACAGGCATGAGTCACCGCATGTGGCCTAATTTTTAAAATTTTTTTGTAGAGATGGGCGGTCTCACTATGTTGCCCAGGCTGGTCTTGAACTCCCGGCCTCAGGTGATCCTCCCACCATGGCCTCCCAAAACGCTGGGATGCCAGGCATGAGTCACTGCATCCGGCCCCCGGACAGGCAATCTCTGCCCCCAACCTGCCCCGCTCCCCCCCGCCGAGCCCAGGTCTGGGGCTTTGCCATCAGTTCCGCCCCCTGAAGAATCTGGAAGGGAAATATTGACACAACCACCCCCTACCCAGACAGGAGGAGCCCGAGCCGGATGACATTAGCGTTGCCGGCGCGCGGGAGCCAGCATATGGCTCCCGCTGCCGTGTTGGGGAACACGAGTGATTGCCACGTAATGAGATGCTCAACACGGCTGCTGGGGCCACACGGCGGGCCGCGCCGCCCACTCACCATATCTGCTGTTAAACAGGATCTGCACACACTCCCGGAGCGTGTTGATGTCTTCGGTTTCCTTTATGAAGGCGTCCCACTTCTCTATCAAAACACAGGAGGCACAAGTGAGCAGGGCCTCCAGGGACAGTCGCACGCCCTCCACCGGCCGCGACCCCCAGGCTTTTACCTCCAGAGCCCCCGAGGCCGGCCCCAGCCCACAGCCCTTCCACCCTCTCCCACGGAGTGTACATGAAGGCAGGGTGCTCTGATGGTCCCCCATCTGCCCTCTCCTCCTGCTCTGACATTGCCTCTGGCCTCTCCCACGGGTGTGGTGTCAGTGCTGGCTCAGCCTGTCCACCCCGAGCCCATCCTACCCCAGACATACAGGAGGCAGGAAGAGTAGTCCTCCCAGCAGAAAAAGAGGTCAAGCCTTTTTTTTTTTTTTTTTTTTTGAGACGGAGTCTCGGTCTGTTGCCCAGGCTGAAGTGTATTGGCGTGATCTCAGCTCACTACAATCTCTGCCTCCTGGGTTCAAGGATCCCCCTGTCTCACTCAGCCTCCCAAGTAGCTGGAACTATAGGCACGCACCACCACGTCCAGCTAATTTTTTATACTTTAGTAGAGACAGGGTTTCACCATGTTGGCCAGGATGGTCTCGAACTACTGATCTTATGATCTGCCCGCCTTGGCCTCCCAAAGTGCTGGGATTATAGGCGTCAGCCACCGAGCTCGGCCCCCGCCAACCCCCCCCTTTTTTTTGAGATGGTGTCTCACTCTGTTACCCAGGCTGAAGTGCAGCGGCCCAGTCTAGGCTCACTACAACCTCTGTCTCCCAGGTTTGAGTGATTCTCCTGCCTCAGCCTCCAGAGTAGTTGGGATTACAGATGCATGCCACCATATCTGGCTAATTTTTGTATTTTTGTGTGTGTGTGTGTGTGTGTGTGACAGAGTCTTGCTCTGTTGCCAGGCGCCAGGCTGGAGTGCAGTGATGTGATCTCAGTTCACTGCAACCTCCACCTTCCGGGTTTAAGCAATTCTCCTGCCTCAGCCTCCCGAGTAGCTGGGATTACAGGTGTGCACCACCACGCCCAGCTAATTTTTTGTATTTTTAGTAGAGATGGGGTTTCACCACATTGGCCAGGCTGGTCTTGAACTCCTGACCTCAGGTGATCCACCTGCCTCGGCCTCCCAAAGTGCTGGGATTACAGGCGTGAGCCACTGTGCCCAACCTGAGGTTGAGTATTTCATTTTTTAATTTAAATTAAAAAAAAAATTAGAGATGGGGTCTCACTGTGTTGCCCAGGCTGGAGGGTAGTGGTGCAACCATAGCTCACTGTAGCCTCAAACTCCTAGGTTCAGGTGATCCTCCCGCCTCGGCCTCCCAAGCAGCTGCGATGACAGGTATGAGCCACCACTCCAGCTGTTTTTTTTCTTTTCTTTTCTTTTTTACAGACAGGGTCTCACTCTGTTGCCCGGACTGGAGTGCAGTGGTGTGATCATAGCTCACAGCAGCCTCCAACTCTTGGACTCAAACGATCCCCCCACTGCAGCCTCCCGAGTAGCTGAGAGTACCGGTGCCCACCACCACGTCTGGCTAAGGCCTGAGTCTTGCTCTTGGGAATCTAATCCTTGTACCTCCTACATTTGAGGTCTCACTCAGCACTGGCCTTCTTGGTTTCCCCTAAAAGCTCAGCTCTGCTGGCCTCTCAAAACCTCTGTCTTGATTGAATAATACGTGATTGTTGATGCATTTATAATCAATAAAAGTAACAACTTTAATTTGTTAAGTGCTTATCTGTGATAAGTACTTTATATATATATACATTATCTTATTTAATTCCTTATGACAAGTTATAAATAAAGATATTATTCCCATTTTGCAGATAGGAAAACTGAGGCTCAAAGAAGCTGAGTATCTTGCTTGCGATAACCCAGTGAGATTCTATCCCAGCTTGTGCCCCCTGGCCCACGGGCCCGTCATGCTGCTGTTCCATGCTGATATTCAGGTCCTGTTCCCACCAAGGCTAGACTTTGTTTGGGGCAGTGGCAGTGGAGAGAGTGGGGAGGGGGGCGGGTCTCCATTCTGATCCCAGGAGACTGGGTTTTCTTTCTTTCTTAAAATTTTATAGAGATGGAGTCTCACAAGGTTGCCTAGGCCGGTCTAGGACTTCCAGCCTCAAGTCATCCTCCCACTTCCGTCTCCCAAAGCACTGGGATTACAGGTGTGAGCCACCACACCTGGCCTAGGACTGGGTTTTCTTACAGAACCTCTGCCTGGAGGTGAAACTGAGGGCCTCACAAAGCAAAACTGCTGGTAAGTCCTGCTACGTTCTTTCTTGGTATAACAGAATCCCACGCTTTTCTATACTCAGGCCTTCTGTGTGATACTTTAAAAATCCGTCCACATTTTTTGTTTTTTTTCGTATATGTATTGATTCCTTTAAACGGTAGAGTTTAACTCCTCTTCCACTGAGGGCAGGCTGGATCGTGTTTCTGGCTTCTAACGGATAGAATATGGCAGAAGTGACAGTAATTTCTGAGGGTGGGTCATAAAAGCCATGTGGCGTCCTTCTTCCTCTCTTTTGGATCAAGAACTCTGCAGGGAACCGGCGGCCATGTTGTGAGGATGCTCAAGCAGCCCCACCAAGGCTGGCCCACATGGTGGGAACAGAGGCCTCCTGCTAACAGCTCCATGAATGAGCTCAGAAGCATCTCCTCCAGCTCCAGCTGAGCTCTTGGATGACGGCAGCCCCCGCCAACATCTTGACTGCAACCTCATGAGAGACCCTGACCCAGCACTGCCCAGCTCGGCCGGTCCTGAATTCCCAACCCCCAGAAACTGTGAGGTAATAAACACTTGTTTTAAGTTCCATTTGGGGGTTACTTATTTTTTGTTATAACTTTTTTTAGAGATAGGGTCTTACTGTTGCCCAGGCTGGAGTGCAGTGGTGCAATCATAGCTCACTGCAGCCTCCAACTCCTGGGCTCGAGTGATCCTCCTGCCACAGCCTCCCAAGTAGCTGGGACTACAGGTAGGCACCACCACATTCATCTAATTTTTCTTATTTTTTGTAGAGGCAGTGTTTCACTGTGTTGCCCAGGCTGGTCTCAAACTCCTGGCCTCAGGCAGCTCTCCTGCCTCGGCCTCCCAAAGTGCTGGGATTATAGGCGTGAGCCACCGTGCCTAGTCTGGGGTAGTTTATCACACAGCAATGATAACTAGTACACCCCGCTTTACTCACAGCTGCCTGAGCACAGCTGTTCCTCCTTTCTCTCACAAAGACCCAGGAGACACATTTCCATTCCAGTGAGCACCGCCTCCAGCCCCCGATTCCCACTCAGGCCAGGGTGCTGCGAGGGCGCTGTCCTACCTGACTTGTCATGGACGATGGAAAAGAGAATGCGCTTGGAGGCATGGACGTTCTGGATGAGAGGCCCACCAGGCCCCGGGGGCTTCTGTCCTGGACAAGGCAGAGAAGGAAACAGGTTCCAGGTGGGCCCCAAGAGGGTTCCCCAGAGCTGGCCCCAGCGCACAGGCCCTGGCTCTGGGGTAATAGCCTCATCTGCCAGGGAGACCCCAGAACTGATTCCTGTGATCGCCAACTCAGGGCAAAGTCCCTGACCAGAGGCCTAAGATATTCTGCACCAGAATCTGCCAGCCAAAAGCCAGATTATCAAGAAAGGGATGTCAGAGGCACTTTTTCCGGGTAAGAACACTTGTTTTACGTGTATAAGCTTGAAGCCCTGGTCAGCTCACATATTTGGGCTTTTTGCCCCTTAGAATAATAATAAGTAATAATCATAGTGAATATGACTTATAAGCACCTACTACAAGCCAAGCATTAGACCCAGGGCTATTTTTTATTTATTTATTTTTGGTAGAGATAGGATCTTGCTATGTTGCCCAGGCTGGTCTTGAACTCCTGGGCTCAAGTGATCCTTCCGCCTCAGCCTCCCGAAGAGCTGGAATTACAGGTGCGCCTGGCCAGACCAGTGCTTTAACACAGCAACTCTCAAACTCGAGCACATTGGAACACTTGGCAGAGTTGTGCAAAGAGACTACAGGGTCCCTTCCCCAAAGCTTCAGATTCAGCCTCACTGCAGTGGGGCCTGAGAATGTGGATTTCTAACCCTCTCTCGGGAGATGCTATTGCCACCGATCTGTGACTTAATCATGATAGCACTTCTGGGAAGCAGGTCCTGCTAGCATCCCCATTTTATAGAGGAAAAAACTGAGGCTGAGAGTAGAGATCTGCCCAGGATACACAGCCACTAAGCAGAGGAGCCAGGAGATGAGTCCAGGTGCTCCTCACCTGCAGCTGTTCCTTTTGTCCTGTCCACCCCGGGGCCTACTTTCCCCAGTGCCCTTAATCAGGCTGGGTATGCAGTGGGTCTTATTGAATTGCAGTGCGTCCTCATTGGATGCATGGGCATGACTCGTATGCCTCCTTCCTTTATAGCACGTGATGTGGATCTCCCACTTTTGACACCTGAAATATTGCTGGTGCTCTTTTTTTTGGAGGCAGAGTTGTGCTCTGTCACCCAGGCTGGGGTGCAGAGGTGCAATCATAGCTCAATACAGCCTCAGCCTCCTGGCCTCAGGCGATCCTCCTGCCTCAGCCTCCTGAGTGGCTGGGACCCAGGGAGTCCTCACAGGCATCTCTTAGTCCAAGGCCAAGGACATCATTCACAGATGGCTGAGCAGAGACCCAGGGTCCCAGGGGGTCTCAGCCCGGACACCATCTGTCCAGCCCCATCCCCATGCCCAGACATGGCTCCTTCCAACCTAGGAGGGCCTGGGCATCCTGCCCTGCCCTGGGAGGATGTCCCCTGAACACGTGACCTCTGTCCCACCCCCATACTTGGAGATCCCAGCAGCAGTGTTACCACAACAGTCGGAGAAATCTTGGGCACTGGCAGCCTTGGGCTCTGGCACGGGCCGGCCCAGGCCCAGGTCGCTGGGGGCAAGGGGGTAGGAAGGCGGCTCCTGCTTCAGCTCTCGGATGGCGTGGTTGGGGAGCGTCGTGCTGTACAGGAAGCTGGCCACGGAGGAGGAGGTGGCAGTGGGGGGAAGGTCCTGGGGTGGCACCTTGGGGGCCTGGCCATGCAGGCCACAGTCCCGTGACCCCTTGGGTATCAGGGAGACACCGTTCAGCTCCACCAGGGCCTTCGAGTCCCGCCCGCCATCCTCAAGTGGCCTGGGTAAAGGAGAGGACACATGGACAGCTTTGTACATCTGTTTTACATATTGCATCTCTTCCTCTGCAACCCTGAATCCCCACCCCTTACAGAACACGGTGGCCCCAGGAGGAGGGCAGGACAGGAGCTAGTCTTTCACTTTACAGGTGGGGATGCCGCTCAGAGGTGGGAATGGTGTCCAGGGCCACAGATCTGGGCCACCGGAGGACCTGGGCACAGCACCTCTGCTCCAGTCCACAGATCAGGTCCTGCCAGGTGCAGCCGACTGCCTCCTATCTCCCGCTGCACCCCTCCCCTTCCCTGCTTCCACATTGCCTGGGGCGCCTCGCAGCAATGGACTCAGCCTTAAAGCCCCCAGGCTGCTTTCCTGGCTCTCCTAATTGGAGCTGCCTCAGACCAGCCTCAAAAACCTAATCTTCTGTGGGTCCCTAATTAACCCTGGATTTACAACCTGAGCAAGCACACGACGTGGTTCTCCCGCTTCTGACACCTAAAAATGCCACCTTTTTTTTGAGATAGAGTTTTGCTCTGTCACCCAGGCTGGAGTGCAGTGGCGTGATCTTGGCTCACTGCAACTTCTGCCTCCCAGGTTCAAGTGATTCTCCTGCCTCAGCCTCCCAGGCAGCTGAGACAACAGGTGCATGCCACCACGCCCAGCTACATTTTGTTTTTTGTACTTTTAGTAGAGACGGGGTTTCACCATATTGGCCAGGCTGGTCTCGAGCTCCTGACCTCGTGATCCACCCACCTCTGCCTCCCAAAGTGCTGGGATTATAGGCATGAGCCACTGTGCCCGCCCCCCCAACTTTTTTTTTTTTTTAAGAGACAGGCCTTGATCTATTGCCCAGGCTCGAGTGCAGTGATACAATCACAGCTCACTGCATCCTCAAATTCCTGGGCTCAAGCAATCCTCTTGCCTCAGCCTCCTGAATAGCTGGGACAACAGGTGTGCACCACCACACATGGGTAATTTTTTTTCTTTTTTTTTTTTGGTAGAGACAGGGTCTTGCTACATTGCCCAGGCTGGCCTTGAACTCCTGGCCTCAAGCGATCCTCCCACCTCAGCCTCCCAAAGGGCTGAAATTACAGGTGTGAGCCACTGCACTCAGCCATTTTGTCCCAAGTCATGTCTCTCCGAATCTCTTTGCAGTGCAGAAGGTCCCTGGGAAGACTTCCAAGGCTTAAGGGCCTGGCTCAGATCCTGCTCTATGACTTCGCTTTTACTTCACCTCCACCATCAGACTAGGAGTTTTCACAGCCAGAGTGTCCTATGGGCCTCTCAAGTCCCTTCTCCTCTGGCTAAGTGACCTCCAGCCCCCAGCCTCAGGCTGGCTACCTCACTCACCTCTTGAGCTTGAAGCGGATGCGGTGGCTGTGTTCCAGGATGGCCATGAGGGCCTTGGGGTCGTACTCGGCCGGCCTCCGGAAGGCCAGGCCCTCGGGCAGCCCCTGCACGGCCAGCAGCCCCGGCTCCCTGAGCAGCCGCTCATAGGGCAGCGGCACCACACTGGCCCTTCCCAGGGCCTCGCCTGCAGCGGGGAGTACAGGAGAAGGGCCTGGTATGAGACAGCAGCCAGGCTGGGGTCGGGGCCGCGGTGCCCCAGAGCGGGGGCAATGTCAAGTGGCTCCCCTTGGTGCGGGGTTCCCACGGATCCCTCACAGCTGCAGACTTAGTGCAGAAGAACCACCTAGAAGCTAGGGGTGGGCTGGGCGGGTGGGGGCTGAGGACAAGGCCCCACTGTCTGCACCCGGGGGGCTGGGGATCCCCCACTGAGGGATTCCCTGCTGCCCTCCCCGGCCAAGCCCCTCTTTACTCTGGGCACCTGGCTGGAGGGGAAACCGGGGACTGCAAGGGCCCAGAGGACAAAGCAGAGGGGGACAATCTGGCGGGAGCAGAGAGGGCACAAGAGACGGAGAAGGGGAGACTTGCGTGAGCCAGGCTGCGAGGAAGAAGCTGTAAGGGCCGGGCGCGGCGGCTCCCGCCTGGAATCCCAGCATTTTGAGAGGCCAAGGTGGCGGATCACCTGAGGCCAGGAGTTTGAGACCAGCCTGGCCAACAGGATGAAACCCCATCTCTACTAAAAATACAAAAATTAGCCGGGCACGGTGGCAGACACCTGTAATCCTAGCTACTCGGGAGGCTGAGGCAGAGAATCATTTGAACCCGGGAGGCGGGTTGCAGTGAGCCGAGATCGCACCACTGCATTCCAGCCTGGGCGACAGAGCGAGACTGTCTCAGAAGAAAAAAAAAAAGGTGTAAGGTGGAAGAGACAGAGCCTGAGAGTGGGGAGAGAAAGCAAGAAGGAGAGGAAGCGGAGAGGCAGCAGAAATATGGGATTCAGAGAAAGACGGGAGAGAGGAGGAAGAGACAGACTGAGATGGCGCAGGCACAAAGATGGGGCTGGGGGGCACAGAGGAGGGGAGGCAGGCGGGGGACTGGGGACCGGAGGACGTCACCTCCGGGGCTGCGGCCCCCACCCTGAGCCAGAAAGAGGCCTATGCTCTCACAGCCTCCTTGAATTCTGCCCGAAGTGGACAAGAGGGGCCAGGGCAAGGTGGGCAGAGGTACAGGTGACTGTGCATGAGCCCTGCAGCTGGCGAACGTGTCGACAGGGGCACAGCCTGGCATGCATGGCAAGTCCTCATCCCAGGGAGGCCAGCGTGACCACCCGGGGCCACTGGGTATCTCTCCTTCTGACATAAGAACAGCAGAAGTTTCCTTGCAGACCCTTTGTGGGAAGTAGAAATGTTCCTTTTTAAAGTTTCCATTCTGGTTAAAAAAACATAAGTGCACTATAACTTTGTTGAGCCCTATCCTATGTAGCTGTGAGACATGCCATGCTTACAAGCACGTAGTACATTCTATGTCCTTGTACTTTAACCAAGGTGTCTGTGCTGGACGTGCTCACAGGCATGTCCCAGCTCTCCACTGCTTTTACCTGTTTAGAGAAGTTTTCAGTTGTTAGCCAGTCGGTTTTAGTTTAGACTGTGAGGTCTGGCTCCAGGCAACGGAGATCAGACACAGCAGTAAGGACGACCCCAAATGCATAAGGGATAAATAAGTCTGCTTTTCCTTTGTTCACTGTACTCTCATGGCAAGATGGCTGGCGAGGGTACCCTTCCTGCAGTGCAGGAAGTAAAAATTGCATTGCTGAAAAATCCTTTGTCTCAGTGCTGATTTTTCTTTGCAGCACCCAGCATCTGTTTCTAATACCCTTGCTCCATAAAACCAAGGGCTACAGTAGGAGAAGGGTAAAGCCAAATCAGAAATGAATGAAGTGGGACCCTGAGGACCAAAGGGACCTGCCCAAGGTTGCCCAGGGAGTGTGAAGGCCACCACTGGGCCCCCCAAAGCCCACTGCAACCTGATACTTCCCCAGGGAGGCCAGGTCTCCTTTCCTCTCCCTGCAGGAGAGACGTGGCTGAGCAATCAGCCTTTGCTTAGTCATTCAACAAACACTCTCTGAGCACCTGCTGTTTGCTGGGCCCTGAACTGCAGGCTGGAGACAGCTATAAAGAGCAGACTCAGCCCCTGACCCTGGAGAGTTCCTGGGCTGGTCAGGGGACAGGGCACTGTGGGTGCCAAGAGCAAGGGGCGTAACCCACTGCAAGGGGGCTTCCAGGAGCTGAGCCTCTGCGCCATGCAGGTGTCCACCAGACAGAGGAGGGGAAAGGCCATCTCGAAAGATGCCACGCGCCAAGGCCAGGGCATGTGAAATGAACCAGCTGGTGCTGGAGAACAGGAAGTGATTCTGTAGGGAGGTCAGTAGGGCCCTGTCGTCTGGTGGGAGAAGAAGGTGGGGAGGGAATGAGGATGGGTGTGTGGGCCCCTGTGCCATGCTCAGGGTGACTGGGAGCTCCCCCCCAGGCTGTGGAGGGAAGAACTTCATTCAAGATCAGACTTGTGCTTTGAGAAGATGCCCTTGGCTGCAGGGAAGGTGTGGGGAGCTGGCCTCGAGGCAGGGAGACCATGGCAAGCCCGGGCCTATTTCTAGGCGAGAGGTGGCAGTGACTTGAACCAGGGCAGGGACAGCAGGGGTGGCGGTCTAGGAATGGCTGGAGCAGAATACTGTGCCTGGGAATGCAGAGATGAGGGAGGGCTGGGGTAGCCAGTACCCCCCATGCCTTGGGGTCCAGCTTTGCCCAGGGCCCGTCGTGGGACAGGAGGGGGCCCCCTCTGCTTGGTTGGGACCTGGGCTCCCACCCTCCCTGGGGTCCCCAAATGGAATGAGGAAGGATCTTACTATAAAGAACATCAAACACCTCCTCTACCATCTTCCGCAGAAGGTACACATCTGAGCCGTGCTCCAGCGAGGACCGTGGAAGGCTCCGGCCGCCGCCCTCGCCCCGCTGCATCTTCTTGGGGTGCTCTGCCTCTGGATCCTTCCACGGGGGCCCTCCTGTGGGACACAGAGCACGCCAGGCCACAGTGAGCACCCATCTCACCACCCACAGCCTTCGAGCTGGGATGTCTCTGCCCTGTGCTGAGCCACGGAGTGTGGCAGCCAATGTGATACACAAGTGAATGAATGAAGAGCTAATGAGTGAGCAAGCCCGATTCCCACCACCCCGCTCAGGGCCAGGGCTGGGCCTCACCTCTGGTCCCCTCTAACTTGCTGTGTGACCTTAGCTAAGTCCCTTCTCTCTCTGAGCCTCAGTCTGTGAATGCTCATGGGAGGGACCAGCTACCTGGCTCAGGACTGGGGTTTGACGAATGTTTGTTCCATCCGCGCCTTTCTTTTTTTTTTGAGATGGAGTCTTGCTCTGTCGCCCAGGCTGGAGTGCAGTGGTGCGATCTCGGCTCACTACAACCTCCACCTCCAGGTTTCAAGCGATTCTCCTTCTTCGGCCTCCCAAGTAGCTGGGATTACATGTGTGTGCCACCACTCCTGGCTAATTTTTGTATTTTTAGTAGAGATGGGGTCTCACCATATCGGCCAGGCTGATCTCAAACTCCTGATCTCAAGCGATCCACTCACCTCGGCCTCCCAAAGTGCTGGGATTACAGGCGTGAGCCGCTGCGCACGGCCCCATCCACGCCTTTCTGTGCTGACACAAACACCCTCTTGATTAACCTATGTCCCCGTTTTCTGCTCTGCCAGAGGGAGAGACAGTGGGCACCCTTGCCCCTGTGCCAAGGAGGCCGTGGGTTGCAATCAGCAGGTTCATGCCAGGCTGGGCCAGGGTGGGGACCTGAGAGTATTGGTGGATCCTTGGGGAATGTGCTAGAAGTCGCATTGGAAAGGAGATGAGAAGAGGGGCCTATGGCCCCCCTCGCAGCTTGGAGCCTGTTCTCCTCTGGGATCTGCGGAGCTTGAAATAAACCAGCTGAGTTCCCGGTGCTATAAATAGCGGCCCTGCCTGGCTGGAGAAGTCAGGTGCACCGCCCCAGGCCCTGGGAGGCTGGGGCCACATGCCCTGCTGCCGTCCACTCTACCCAGCCACAGGCCCCCATCCAGGCCTGGGAGAGGGTCTAGGCTCTGAGGGGCTGAGTGGGGTTGGGGGGACTGGCTGGGGGCATGACTGCACCCCAGTAATGAGAGGCCCAGGGCTGGGGATGCCCTTCCCTGACACAGCTGATCTTAGGGATGTGATGTGAACACTAATCATAGTAACAACAGCTGGTGTCTACTGAGTGGGAACCAAGTGCCAGAATCAGCCCTAAGTGCTTGCCAAGTACGAATTTGTTTAACCCTCAGACTCACCCATTCTCCCCTTTCACAGATGAGCAGGTTGAGGCACAGCAGGTGTGGGCCCAGGCGGCCCATTCCCTTTCTTTTTTTTGAGACAGAGTCTTGCTCTGTCGTCCAGACTGGAGTACAGTGTCACAGTCTCGGCTCACTGCAACCTCCACCTTCTAGGTTCAAGCGATTCTCCTGCCTCAGCTTCCCAAGTAGCTGGGACTACAGGCACTTGCCACCACGCCCAGTTAATTTTTTTTTTGGTATCATTAGTAGAGACGAGCTTTTGCCATATTGGCCCGGCTGGTCTTGAACTTCTGACCTCATGATCCGCCCGTCTCAGCCTCCTAAAGTGCTGGGATTACAGGCATGAGCCACACTGTGCCCAGCTTCAGCCCATTCTCTTAACCTCATGCTACACCATGGTTCTTTTGAGATGGGGCCTCACTGTCACCCAGGCTGGAGTGCAGTGGTGGCATCGTAGTTCACTGCAGCCTTGAACTCCCAGGCTCAAGTCATCCTCCTGCCTCAGCCTCCCAAGCAGCTGGGACTACAGGTGTGCACCATCAAGCCTGGTTTTTAAATTTTTTGTAGAGACAGTGGTCTCGATATATTGCCTAGACTGGCCTCCAACTCCTGGGCTCAAGTGATCCTCCCAGTTCAGCCTCCCAAAGTGTTAGGACTACAGACATGAGCCACTGCACTGGCCTAAGATGTGACTTAACAATGACAGCATCTGTCTCCTCGGGTTGATGTCAGGATAAGTGAGTTAGCATCAGAAAGGACGCCACGTACAGTAGGCTTTCAATAAATCTTACTGAAACATGGCTGGGTGTGGTGGCTCACGCCTGTAATCTCAGCAGTTTGGGAGGCTGAGGTGGGCGGATCACTTGAGGTCAGGAGTTCGAGACCAGCCTGGCCCATATGGTGAAACCCCATCTCTACTAAAAATACAAAAATTAGCCAGGTGTGGTGGTGGGCACCTGTAGTCCCAGTTATTCACGAAGCTGAGGCAGGAGAATCACTTGAACCCGGGAGGCGGAGGTTACAGTGAGCCGAGATCGCATCACTGCACTCCAGCCTGGGCGACAGAGCGAGAATCTATCTCATAAAAAAAAAAAAAATCGTGTTGGAAGAAGTGCATTTGGTCCTTGTGTTCAGGGATACACAGATAAGAGGAAGAACTGGGCAACCTTGAGCCTTGGTGTCCCCATCTGGAAAAGGCAGAGGGCAGTGACTGGCTCCGGCCCAGCCTGGGGTTCACCCGGCCAGCGTCTATCAGCTCCAGGGCTGCTGAGTGATTCCATCAAAACCCATGGCTGCCTCGGTAACACCACGTCGGAAATCTCAGACAACGCCGCTTGCCCAGTTCATCTCCCACACACCACCACCCTGGCTACACAGGGTTGGGGACTCAGAGACGGGCTGGAGCATCTGCCCTGGGGAAATGGTGGCCTGGCCCTCCGGCACCCTGGGGTACTCACGGCAGAACCTGAGGAAGTCTGACTGCAGCTCCTTCCGGGCATTCAGGAACATTCTCCCCTTCTCCGTGCCCACCACGAAGGCGCTCTCATCGTGCACAGCCACACAGGCCACCTCAGCGTTCAGTTTGGACAGCGCTGAGCACTGTGAGAAGGGCAGGGTGTGTGAGCGGAAGGACCCCTCCCACTCCAAACATGGCTAGTACCCATTTCCAGGGTGGGAGGTGAGCTCCCAGCTGCCTGAGACCCCAGCAGCAGCTCCAGGGACAGATGGTCTCTCCACTGTTCTTGGTCTTAGATTTTGTAGTGGGAATGAATGAATGACCCTCCAGGGATTGGTGATGGGGGGCCAGAGGAGGACAGATGTCCTCTGCTCCTCCCTCCAAGGTCCCCGTCCTTGGGGTAAGCCCACCTTAGCCCCAGCCCCAGGGACAATCTCGTGCTGGGCTCTCTTGGTCCCTCTGAAGTCCTCGATGAGGGGGAGGTGAGAAGAACCGCAGGAGAAGCAGGGATCGGACAGAGTGGGGCTGCAATCCCACCCTGGCCACCTCTGGGCTCCAGTTTCCACATCTGTTTTTTTGTTTTATTTTGTTGTTTTTTGAGACGCAGTTTCACTTTGTCGCCCAGGCTGGAGTGCAGTGGCACAATCTTGGCTCACTGCAACCTCCGCCTCCCAGGTTCAAGCGATTCTCCTGCCTCAGCCTCCTGAGTAGCTGCAATTACAGGTACCTGCTACCACGCCCGGCTAATTTTTGTATTATAAGTAGAGATGGGGGTTTCACCATGTTGGCCAGGCTGGTCTTGAACTCCTGACCTCTGGTGATCCACCCACCTCAGCCTCCCAAAGTGCTGGGATGACAGGAGTGACACTGTGACTGGCCACTTTCCACATCTGTAGAACTGGGGACGAGCAGCCCAGCTGCACAGTGCCACTGGACTTGGGTATGGGGATTCAATGGCTGGAGGAAGAGGATCTCTAAACTGGGCCACCTTATACAGGTATACGGGCAGCTGGCTATGCTCACGGCCCCAGAGTCGAGGTCCGCAGCCCCACGGCACAGAGGCCTTAATGGGGGGGCCCGGCAACCAATACCACCAGCATCTCAAGTCTCTGACCTGCCTCACCAGGAAAACCCTGACTGTGAAGCCTGTGGCATGCAGTTGTGCCTAATAAATGCCGGTTTTCACCTGAGTCCGGTAGTGCTGGCAGCTATAAATAAAATCTGGCTTCCAATTGCAGTTCTGTGCTGTGTGACCCAGGACAGGTGACCTCTCTGGGCCACAATCTTGCCTCTTGTGCCAGCCCCGGCCAGGAGTCGCTCTGGTTAGGAAGTGGTATGGATGGCATGGGGCCAGGAGGCCTGTCCTCCAGGGTCCCTGCTGGAAAATTAACACCCAGGGGCACTCATTTTCTCCTCACTAAGATAAAAACAAAACCTTGCTGTTCTTTTTCTGTGTGGGAACACTGGCGTATCAACAAAAAATAAATAGGCCGGGCGTGGTGGCTCATCCCTGTAATCCCAGCACTTTGGGAGGCTGAGGCGGGCAGATCACCTGAGGTTGCGAGTTCGAGTCCAGCCTGACCAACATGCAGAAACCTCGTCTCTACTAAAAATATAAAATTAGCCAGGTATGGTGGTGCATGCCTGTAATTCCAGCTACTCAGGAGGCTGAGGCAGGAGAAACACTTGAGCGCAGGAGGTGGAGGTTGCAGTGAGCTGAGATCACGCCACTGCACTCCAGCCTGAATGACAGAGCAAAACTCATCTCAAAAAAAAGAAAGCAAATAACCACATGTCGCTAGTGACCATGGCACTGATCATCACTGCCCATGTCAGCCACATCTCCACCACCGCCAAGCTAGCAGTGCTTTGGGACACAGGGCTGAGCTCCTGGGGGCCCCTCCTCGTGAAGGTCACGCTGCATAGGGGAGGGGTCGTTGTGGAGAGACTGGCACCCAGCCACTTTCCCAGGGGTGTCTCCTACCTTGCCCCAAACGCCACCTAAGCAGCCCTTTAAAATTGAGACAGTCTCGCCCCCCAGACTGGAGTGCAGTGGTGTGATCTCGGCTCGCTGCAACCTCCGCCTCCCAGGTTTAAGCAATTCTCCTGCCTCAGCCTCCCTGAGTAGCTGGGATTACAGGCAGGTGCCACCACACCAGTCTAATTTATTTATTTTTATTTATTTATTTTGAGACGGAGTCTCCTTCTGCCCAGGCTGGAGTGCAGCGGCACGATCTCTGCTCACCGAAACCTCCACTTCTGGCGTTCGAGTGATTCTCCTGCCTCAGCCCCCCAAGTAGCTGGGATTACAGGGATGAGCCACCACGCCCAGCTAATTTTGTATTTTTAGTAGAGATGGGGTTTTGCCGTGTTGGCCAGGATGGTCTCGATCTCCTGACTTCGACTGATCCAGCCACCTTGGCCCCTAAAAGAGCTGGGATTACAGGCATGAGCCAACATGCTGGCCAGATTTTTTTTTCTTAACACTTGCATAACTTCCCTCCAGGAAAAGGCTGGAGAAAATGATATTACAATGTCCTCATCTGGGATAAATTGCTATAGGTCTAGGCATGCAGGCAATAGCGCCAGGAGCGATACAAAGTCCCGTTTCTCTCTGCCCACGCGAGATGCAGTTAGAGCTCCTGCTTTCATGTTGGGCATTACAGCTTTTTTTTTGAAACGGAGTCTCGCTCTGCGGTCCAGGCTGGAGTGCAGCGGCATGATCTGTGCTCACTGCAACCTCTGCCACCCAAGTTCAAAATGGCTGCCCACACATGATGTCCCAGGTCACCTGCTAGGAGACAGGCAGGTGGTTCATTCACCCCAGGGACAAAGTAGGAATGCAAGAGGGGTGGAGGGACAAGGGGACAAGGGCCGGGAGCCAGTGTTTATTCCAGGACTAGATGTTTTTTTTTTTTTTTTGAGATGGAATCTGGCTCCGTCACCCAGGTTGGAGTGCAGCGGCATGATCTCAGCTCACTGTAACCTCCACCTCCCGGGTTCAAGTGATTCTCCTGCCTCAGCCTCCTGAGTAGCTGGGATTACAGGTTCGGGCCACCACACCCGGCTAATTTTTGTATTTTTAGTAGAGATGGGGTTTCTCCATGTTGGCTGGAATGGTCTCGATCTCTTGACCTCGTGATCCTCCTGTCTCGGCCTCCCCAAGTGCTGTGATTACAGGCTCTCAACACCACGGCCGGCTAATTTTTGTATCTTTAGTAGGGGCAGGGTTTCTCCATGTTGGCCGGGATGGTCTCGATCTCTTGACCTCATGATCTGCCGACCTCAGCCTCCCAAAGTGCTGGGATTACAGGTGTGAGCCCCCACGCCCAGCTGCCAGGGCTAGATTTTTACGTACCGGATCTCACTTAAGTCTCCCATCCTTGACTTGGACATCGTGGCCCTAGCTGCAGTCAGAGAAACTGAGGCTCAGGTCAGTAAAAGCTCCTCCGAGTGGCTGAGGTAGGACTGAGCTACAAGGCAGGGTGGGGGTGCTCACCATGTCCCCTCCTCCTGGGCGGGCGGGGACACTCACCATGGAGTCTAAGGCAGACACGAGGCTGGTGATGATCTCGTCTTTGCGGGTGAAGGCAGAGTTCCAGCGGTCGGGCCCGCAGCCGTTGGCGGGGACGTCACAGCGCTTGCCCAGCAAGGCCATGGTCACCTGTGGGGAGGCAGGAGGCAGAGGTAGTGGGCACAAGGCAGGTGGCATGGCTCATATGGCGGCCACCCACCCCAACCCACCTCTGTATCCAGGGCTGACCTTCCCTGGACCCACGGGCTTTATGTGTGATGGGATTAGAGTCTGCATAGGCCTGGGCACAGGTGGCAGGATAACTCACGCCCTGTGCCATGCCCTCCCACGTCTGCACCCCCAAGCCAAGCCCAGCACCAGGATCAGTCTGTTGGGCAGGCCCCAACCACCACGTCTCCCCACGTGTACAGCTCTGGCCACAGCCCTCCCTCGCTCACACACCCTCCATGGTTCCCTACTGCCCACATTAGCTCTCGACTCCTCAGCTTGATATTCTAGTTTCCTGGTCTGCTGTCCCTCACTCCAGTTCCCCCTCACACTCCAAGCTCCAGGTCCTCTAAGCTGTGCCACTCCCAGATATACCAATGTTCATGCTTCCCTAGTCTATGGGTTCAGTTCTCTCTGTCCCTGCCATCATTTGCTGGTTGTCTTTGAAGCTTTTTTTTTTTTTAGACAGAGTCTCGTTCTGACACCAGGCTGGAGCGCAGTGGTGCAATCTCGGCTCACTGCAACCCCCACCTCCCGGGTTCAAGTGATTCTCCTGCCTCAGCCTCCCTAGTAACTGGGATTACTAGGCATATGCTACCATACCCAGCTAATTTTTGTATTAGAAGTAGAGACGGTGTTTCCCCATGTTGGCCAGGCTGGTCTTGAGCTCCTGACCTCAGGTGATCTGCCCACCTCAGCCTCCCAAAGTGCTGGGATTACAGGTGAGAGCCACTGCACCCAGCCTGAATATTTTTTAAATTTTTAATTAAATTTTATTTTAAGACAGAGTCTCACTCTGTTGCCCAGGCTTGAGTGCAGTGGTATGATGTCGGCTCACTGCAACCTCCCCTTCCTGGGTTCAAGCAATTCTCCTGCCTCAGCCTCCCTGGTGGCGCCACCACACACCCAGCTAATTTTTGTAATTTTAGTAGAGACAGGGTTTCACCATGTTGGCCAGGCTGGTCTTGAACTCCTGACCTCATGTGATCCACCCACCTCGGCCTCCCAAAGTGTTGGAATTACAGGCATGAACCACCGCACCTGGCCTCATCAAAGCTTTTAATTGTCCAACCTGCTGGCCCACCTCCTGTGCCCCCGACCTGAAGCGGAGCTGGGTCAGGAGCTGGTGATGCCTTCTTCTCCCTTTCACATGCCTCTGAGCTTGTCTGTCACATTTTTGCACCAAGCCACGTGCTCCCGAGGCCAATGCCTTCAGCCTTCAGGCCTCCCAGCCTCAGTTTCCTTCCTAGCCAGGAGACTTGGCCTCAGGGGCATAAGATACAGAGGGGAAGAGGCTGTCTCCTCTCAGGTCGGGGGCTCCCCAGGGCAGGACTCTGTCCCATTGCAATGGGGTTGCTGGGGAACAGAACTGCATCGTCCCCCTCAAGCCCAGGGCCCCAACTGTGGCTTCCCATTGCATGGCGCAGGCTTGCTGGGTATAGTGCCCAGCTGGGCACCCACGAGATACAAAGATCAGCCTTCCTCAGCCCCTGGTTGTACCCTGCTTTTCTCCTTCTCTACCCAGGGGCCACCCACACGCTGTCCCAGTGGCAGGGCCTGCCCTCAAGGCAGCTGTCCCTGCACCAATCCAAGCAAAGAAGGCAGAGAGCAGAGGCAGGACGGCTCAGTTTCCCTCTCTGGACTCAGCCCCAGTGCGCTCCATGTGGCCTCTGCTGGGTGCTGACAGAGAGCAGAGCTGAGGACCAAAAGAGCCTGTAAACCTGCCCTGTCTCCCACCTGCACACAAGGAGTTTCTGCATCCAACGGGGCAGGGCAGGCCCAAGCAGGAGGACCGTGGCGCTGGCTCCGCAAAGGGTACCAGGCCTGGGGTGTCTTCTGCTGCCACAGCAGCCCCTGTTGACCGTAAGCTCTCTGAGGGCAGAAACCAGGTCTACCTGCTACTGTTTGCAACCCAAGGCCCAGATCGGTGCCCAGCGTGCATGAGGCCCAAGGCGTGCGGTCCCAGCCACAGACAGGCCTTTCAGGAGGTCATGATCTATTGATCACTGGCCAGTGACACAGAACAGGTATCAGAGCACACCACACTTTGCAAGGTCAGAGGCGTCCAACCCCAGGGACAGAAACATCCCGAGAAATTAGAGACGCATCAGAGCTCGGCTCCGACCTCAGTTCTGGCTCTCCTCTGCTTCTCAGCTGTGGATAAATATTGTTTAAACAACTGGCCAGTGGGTGTTTGGCCAAAATGTATATTGAGTTTGCTGCTAAATGTTTATAAAAGACACTTCTTCTCCCAGGTTGCAATTTTATAGAAGCTTGAAATCTGCTGTATTAAGGGATGCAGGGGGGATGATGGCCCATGGGTGGGACACAGGCCACGGATGGGGCCCGCTGATGAACCCAGAGGTGGCCAGTGGCCACGGCTGGGGACACTTCGTGGCATGAAGCCTGCGGAGGGTCCTGCATGCCACTGGACTTCATAAAAGATCCAGCTGAGAGGTCTGCCGGCCTGGGGGCTGTAAGACGTCCCCCTCCCTCCAGCCACCCCCTGCCAGCCAGTCCCTTGAGCCATTCCCAGAAAGGCCTTAGGGCTGCCAGCCTCCCAGCTGCTGAGGCCCAAATCGAATCAGGGCAAAGCAGGAGGCACCAGACTGCAATCCAGCCCTGGCCTCCCGGCGGTCCCAGACAGCGGCCGGCTCCTTCCGGCAAAGGCCCTAATCCACTTAGGAAGGAACCAGGGACTCCAGGAAGGAGGGACACAGAGAGAGAGAGAGAGAGCAAAAGGGGGCTGGGCTGTGGGCCATCCCTGGCTCCTTGTCCCGGTCACCCGGGCTTGTAGGACCCTCTGTCCCGAGCCACAACCCAGGTGGATGCACCTGGGGAGCGAGGAGAGAGACGGCCATTCCTTGCAAATGATCAGGGCGTCAGATGGAGGGAGAGGCAGATTCCACGTGCCTGGAGCAAGCATGCAGCAGGGGAGATGGGAGGAAGATGAGACCTGGGCCCGGGTCAGCTAGGGCCACGTCGGGTGAGTCCCGAAACCCTGCGTTTTTTCATTTGTAAAGTGGGAATGGTCCTGAACAGAAAATGAAGGCAGAGGCTGGGCGCGGATGCTCACGCTTACAGTCTTGGCACCTTGGGAGGCTGAGGTGGGAGGATTACCTGAGCCAAGGAGCTTGAGGCTGTAGTGAGCTATGCTGGTGCCATTGCACTCCAGCCTGGGCGACAGAGCAAGACCCTGTCTCTTAAATAAAAAATAAAAATTCTGATAGCAGGGCTGGGTGCGGTGGCTCACGTCTGTAATCCCAGTGCTTTGAGAGGGTGAAGCAGGCACATCCCTTGAGGTCAGGAGTTCGAGACCGGCCTGGACAACACGGTGAAACCTGGACTCTACTAAAAATACAAAAATCAGCCGGGCATGGTGGCACGCACCTGTAATCCCAGCTACTCGGGAGGCTGAGGCAGGAGAATCACTGGAACCCAGGAGGCGGAGGTTGCAGTGAGCCGAGATGGCACCACTGTATTCCAGCCTGGGCAACACAGTGACATTTCATTAAAAAAATTTTAAAAAGTTGGCAGGGTGCAGTGGCTCACACCTGTAATCCCAGCACTTTGGGAGGCCGACATAGGTGGATCACGAGGTCAGGAGTTCGAGACCAGCGTGGCCAGTATGGAGAAACCCCATCTCTACTGAAAATATAAAAAATTAGCCAGCCATGGTGGCGTGCACCTGTAGTCCCAGCTACTTGAGAGGCCAAGGCAGGAGAATTGCTTGAACCCGGCAGGCGGAGGTTACAGTGAGCCGAGATTGTGCCACTGCACTCCAGCCTGAGTGACAAGAGTGAGGCTCCACCTCAAAAAAAAAAAAAAAAGTAAAAATTCTGATGGCAGCATTGGCCCGCATGAGCTATGGTCCTTCCTCCAGTGTTGCCCATTTTAGAGACGAGAAGCCCAGCCAGTGCACAGCGGGGAAGAGGGCTGTTGTCTCCAGACACGTCTTTGCTGTCACCATGCACCAGGAGGACCGCGCTTCCCACATTCACAGCGACGCAGGGGACAGACCAGCTCTCACATGCGTTGCTGACACACAGCCGACCGGGCCCAGCTCAGCCTTCCTGTTTAGACAGAAAGTTCTGTCTCTTGGAAAACCCCTCAGTCCAGGCCACCTCGGATGGCTGGTCACCCCGCAACACAGCGAGCGACGGGAACAGGAGCCCAGACACGTCTCTGAGCAGCCAAAAAACATAGACACTTACAAGGAAGAGAAATGTCCCAAATGTACATCCTTCGGGTTCAAAAAGTCAACTTCCCTTAAAAAGGTGACAGACACATCTATTCCCTGCAGCACTATTCAAGGTAGCAAAGACATGGGATCAACCCAGGTGCCCGTCAACAGTAGAACGGATGAAGAAAGTGTGGTGCACGCGCACTGTGGAATACTATGCAGCCATAAAAAAGGGCAAGACCATGTCCTTTGCAACAACACGGATGTAGCTGGAGACCATTATCCTAACCAAATTAACACAGGAACAGAAAAACAAATTCCACATGTTCTCACCTGTAAGAGGGAGTTGAACGTTGGGTACTCATGGACATAAAGATGGGAATGACTGACACCGAGGCCTCCAAAAGCAGGGAGAGAAGGAAAAGGGGGGGCTCCAAAGCTACTTATTGGGGGCTATGCTCACTACCTGGGTGACAAGATCAATTGTACCCCAAACCTCAGCATCATGCAATATACCTTTGTAATAAAGTCACACATGTACCCCCAAAATCTAAACTAGGAGTTAAAATTATTATTTTTGAGACAGAGTCTCACTGTCGCCCAGACGGGAGTGCAGTGGTGTGATCACGGCTCACTGCAGCTTCCGCCTCCCGAGTTCAAGCAATTCTCCTGCCTCAGCCTCCCAGGTAGCTGGGATTACAGGCACCTGCCACCACGTCTGGCTAATGTTTGTATTTTT